ATGACCCGAAAACCGGGAAAATCGGGACCTGTTAGAAAGTCGTAAAGTGTGGCTGCTGTGTGGTTTTCCGGGGTGCTGATCACGAATATCGTGTTAGTTTTGATCAGAGATGATGTCTTTAAGCATTTAGACCAGGTCGGGTCAGGTCAGGTCAGGTCAACCGGTAGGGGTTGTGACGGGTATTCGTGATACGTGTCAACCGCCTCTGACAGCTTCGTAACATGTTACGAATGCACCAAAACTACTTCGTAAATGTTCAAATGGTTGCTAAATTCGAATTCAGCTCCAAAAACTAGCCTAGAAACATGTAAAACTCGAAAAAGTGAACCGAGGTCATCAAAGGTCAGTGATCTGACCTGACCTTCAGGTGACCTTGACACCCACCCTAATGCATGGGGGCAACACCATATCACATGTTTGAACGCTTGAAACCACGAAAAGACTGCAAACGCGCCGCTAATGCGAGCCGACATACGCCGAATCGCGATTCTGGCCAAACATGGTCTCGAAAAGTAGGTCACAGGTCAAAGGTCATTCGGGTCAGGGTCATGAAATTTTCAGGGTAAGTGTAAAATGGAATAACGCGAAGGTACTGAAAGTTTCGTCGCGATCGGCCGCTTTTTACGCGAGTTATTCGCAAAAAACCATGGGGGGGGTCCGTTCGACCCCCCCATACGGGCGAGGGGGTGTTAACCTCGGGTCAAGGTCAGGTCGGAGCCCTTCAGGTCACGAAAATGGTTTAAGGAGGTCATATCGCATATCATTCGATTCGGCAGGTCTCCCTGAGTCCAATGGTGGCTTTTCCGACTCTCTAGCTCCATCTGATCAGGAGTTATTGACGAAAAACTTATATGGCCTTAGTGACGTCATAAATGACGTCACGCAAAGTCAACAATGCTAAAGTGAAGCACTGGACCTTGCAAGGAGTGCATGAAACCATTCCCGGTGCCCGAATAGCAGCTCCCAATTTCCCTTGTTGACTTAAAGTAGTGCTAGATCCTGTATTATACTCAATTATGACGTCATAACTTAACAGATTCACGTCATATATTTAGTGCTTGACATCCAAATGATAGCTTACATATGACAGAGAAGGTATGCAAAGTTTTATGAAGTTTGCTTCACTAGTTGTGGAATAACAAGCAAAAAACTTTTGCGGAAAGGCCGCTGGCCTCTCGCTGGAGCGTTTCCGACCAGTGTGCGCTGTAGCTCTTTTGGTTCCCAAGTTATGCGTTGGCTTCTTGGAAATTGTCGACATTCGACCTGGAAATCGGCGAAATTTTGCCTTCAATGACCTCTGGTGACCTGACCTTTGACCTGAGCAAAAAATTGACCGAAGTGATTTCCTCATTATTTTTGACGCTCTTTCGAAAGCCGCCTTCCGCGTATCGCTACGTGGCCCAGGAGCCGAGTTAGAAGGGGGTGTTCAAACACCCCCCCCCCCCCAGCAGGGCGTGGAAATCCAGGACCCCCAGCCGGGCGCGGGTTAATATCAAACTGCCTTAGAGTATAAAATCCTCGGAAGATTAATATTGGCGAAGATTGGTAGACACCCGCTGACGTCATCTGTCAAGGTCACCAATGTAAACAAACGGCTAACCATTCTACCTCCTATATACGGGCTTGGGCATATTCACCAAATGATACTTTTCAAACAACCGTGGCGTGGTGTATGCCTTGCCAGGTGACAAATACAACTCAATACTTACTATGCACACCAACTTCTCAATATCCAAACCAACTCTAGGTACATTTGCATCATCGGTTGTTTCCTAACCAGTCTTGAAAACTTGTTTTCGCAAGGTTATTTAACCAGCGTCTGGCTTGAACTGGTCATATATGACAAGCGCTGGACTGGCATTTGTTTCATTTATTCACATTTATTCACATTGTTTCGAAACTTTCCCCAATCGACTTGGGGCTATTACAGTTCCAAAAGGATCGGTATCGAGCAACAGCGAAACTAAGTGGCGTCATCACATCATACATACTGTGAGCACAACAAAAATGCCGCAACATTGATGAACATTACGAAAACTGATAATAATAATTGCTAACAATTAAATGCAGGCTGCACAATGCACATTGAATGTAACACACATGGGATGGTTGTTTGGGATGTTCACAGCAACATTCAAGTACACTGGCGTACGTGTCATCAAGAACGCAGGTGTTTAGATTATGCCTGTCCAGGTCGGTCACATATATGACTCACTAACTTGTTAGCAAACGTTGGTATTGGCAGTAGCCTGAGATCATGAGGCAGAACATTATGTATATTGTCGGGTGCGCGACAACAAAAACGTCTCCGGCCCATTTCTGTATAGGACTTAGGTACCTGCAGATTGTTATTCTGCCTAGTATCGCGGTCGCGAATATCCGACCTCAAAATGAGGTTGTCGGCAAGCATTTTGGGCACTCCCGTGCGACCCACTTTGTGAGCCATACACAGAGTATGGTACTCGACAAGCCCACTGGCTTTAAGCCAGCCTAATTTATGTAATAAGTCAGAAACGCACTGTAAACCAAATTGACAAGTCTTGTGTAATATAACCAATCATCCCTTGGTATATTTACCAACTGATACTTTTTGTATCAAGCCGTTGTCTGGTGTATTGCTTGTCAAGTGACAACTACGAGTCAATAGTTACTATGCACACCAACTTCTCAGTATTCAGACCAACTCTACATTTGTTCCAAGTTTGTTTCTTAACCAGTTTTGGAAACTTGTTTCCGCATGGTTATTTAACCGGCGTCTGACTAGTACTGGTCAGCTGGTCAGCATAAACATGGTCAGCTGCGCCTGACGTCAGACTTGGTGGACCAATCAGCGGTCGCCGGCCGCCGTTAGCGGGCCCCGGCGGTTTCGAACCAGTTGTTCTTGCGCGACCGCTATGCAGCGTGGAGCAGCGACGAGGGCTGTTCCAGCATTTGTGCAGTGAAAAGTGATATCTGTGAACTGCGGTGTTCGTGCTGTGAGTGAGGCCCCCTCTGGCCTGCGGGACGCAATAATCGTGCCTGCCCGCGGCCGAGGCGCCTCCCTTCCCCTGCGCGCGCAATGTAAGTGGGCCAGACCTGTGCACGCACATGTGAACAAATGTTTTGCAGTCGGCGTTTTTTTATATAAATACATTTGTTTTCCTTTCATTCAACTCTTTGTATTTTTAACTTAACTAATGGACATAGGTATATGGGCTTATCTATCTAAATGGCGCCCATGATTTATTCGAAATATCTGCGTGATCGTGCAACTGCCATGATTGTTATGCTTAGTGTTCAGGAAATATTCGTCTCGTCATACTGGCATGCTATACTTCTGGCTTGATGCGGTGCACAAAACCATGTTTTTCCACATGCGCATCAGTTCTTGCTTCAAATACTCATATGCCGACGGTGCACGATATACCTACTGGGGTTAGCTCATACATTTACCACATCCATTCGAAAATATGCGCTCGGAATTGTCTCCTGTCAATAGTATTAATTACGTGACCGTAACAAATACTAATGATTCCAGAAACTTCCGGATGGATGTGGTTTATAATTCATTGATTATATAGCCCATCAGTATTTCGTTTCTCGTCAACGCGAGCCTTTGAGCAAGAAGTGATTACAGTCATGGTTTTGTGCACATCTTCCAGCCAAAAATAACCTGTCAATTATTTCCGGAATCAGTGTCGTGGCAATTGAAAACGAACGCAAATCGTAACTTCTTAAGGTTATCAACGCAAACAAGGCGATTGTAAGGAAGAACAAGTTCGAACAGAGCGTTAGTACACTTACTTGTTGACAATTTGTAAGCTAGCAATGCCCAGTCAAAGGCTAGCTCATCAACAAACCAGGGGTTGGTGAACCGACAAGGAAACGCCTATGCCTATTCAGAAGTTGGTAGGTCCACAAGGCTCAGACTAGTACATCAACAAGGCGACGCCTATGCGAATTGGAACCAAACTTGTAGACAAACTGTTAGTTTGTTGGCCAACAAGGCTGGGGTTGGTGAATCGACAAGGTGACGCCTATGCGAATTGGAACCAAACTTGTAACAAGGAGCCAACTTATACATAGAGTTGGTTTACAGTGCATCTAACAAACCCAGAGGTGCATGAGTAGAGTCGCCTCAAAAGGCGTTTTACTGGTTTATAAGACTTTGTTGCCCTGCAACTTAATCTTTTTTCGCATTGAAGAGCTATGGAGTGTCTGTTTAATGCAAAATATTATATCTGCAATGATAGGAATTGATTCAGTGTGACATTTTATTCGCAGCTTTACAATCAACCATTGTGGGTTTGACAAAAAAATCCCCACCAACTTCCCTGGAAAAGCTCCACCCATGACCCACAATATTCTTCTAGTGAGTGCAGGCAATTTATTCTGCACCAACAATAATCTGAAACAAAAGCTCCTTTTCTTATCAACGCTACTCCCATACGGTATAGGACGAATTCAAGATAGCATGCCCTCTACCCAAATGTCGCAGCATTTGCTACCTTGGTGGTCTTCAAAACTTATTTTGTGCTCAGGTGCTAAAAACGGAACACATGTTATAGAGCACATAGCGATTAGCCATTCTAGAAAGTTTCATCCCGATATCTTCAAAAACGGCCAAGTTAGCTGTTTTGCATTTTGCGGTTGTCATTTCACCGTTGTGTGAATTATTGTCATTACCAATACAGTGATAGTACTTTGTCGATATCAACCTCGAAGCTCGCAATGAGCCTGCCGCCTGAAGCCGTTTTCGAATACCGGTGGCGATGCATATAAAAATCGAGAGAGAACACGATACCCGGTTCCGCTTGCTACCCTCCCCCCCCCCCCCCCCACAGCTCCACTGACTATGGCTGGATTTTTGCACCCATGCACCCACAATGTTCCAGCCGTTCCTACGCCCATGATGACCGTCAAAATCCTATTGATATCAGAAGCTTGAGCGTTGTGTTGGCTCGTTTTTTTTTTCTACTAGTCCTTCAGCCTTGCATTTTGCCCATTCTACCCTCACTTACCATGGTCGCTTCTGCAGTATGGCCCCATCCACTTATTTTTGATGCACTTGATGTTACAATCCTTTCTTTTTCCACTAATTGTATCGACTTCAGCGATGAAGTGGACCTCCTAGAACAAAAATGTTTCGTCATTTTCTTATAAGTATCCTCACAATGTTCAGTATAGTTAAACCCTATTCCTGGCGGGCTCCGCCGGGACAAGAAACTGGCGGGGGGGGGGCCGATTCGGCCCCCCCCCCCTTCAGATCTCAAAAACTACACATCGCAGCGACAAACGGTAAACGGCATCGGATACGCACGGTCAAGATCTACAATTTTTACTGAGGTCATTTTCAGGTCAGGTCAAAGATGACGTCACAGGGGTCGAAAAAGTCAAAATGGCGGCGCTAGATATGGAGATAGTTTTTCTCGAATAACTTTCGAATTAGTCAAGATAGGAACAAACTAAGGGCATCATCGTGATCCTCTCGTCAATCCGCATCGAATGATATATATGTTGACCTCGAAAGGTCAAGGTCAAAGGTTGACCTCAGGTCACGTGACCTCGAGGTCATCATGTATATCATTCGATGCGTCTTGACGAGCTGAACACAATGAGACCATCCACGCGTCTGTATCTTGTTCCTGTACGGAGTTATTGGCCAAAAACCTTTGGTGACCTTTGATGACGTCACATGACCTCACAGCTGCCCAACAGCAAAACAGACCTCAAGGTAGTGAAGGTTGATCGTATATGAAGTCATGTATGGTATATGGGGCCATTCCGACCCGTTTTAGTGGTAAAAACAGGGAGTTGATTTTTCCCCCATTGACTTATAATGGGGAGGTCGCGAAACTGACCTGACCTTAGGTCACCGATATCAAAATTCCGATATATACAAATTGCACATACTGGTACCCTAACTAAATCCTGAAGAGAAGAAATTGATCGGTCAAAAACTCTAGCTCTGGCGTGATTGCAAACTTTTCTGAGGTAGGGTCACCAAACCGCCTCTGGTGACCTGACCTGAGGTCAGATCAACTCAAAATTTTCAGACATGTTGCGTAGAAGCCTTTTAGAAAAAGTCAGAAAATTTGAGCTTCCTAGCTCAACGCGTTTGGGAGAAATAACCAAAAAACCTCAGGGGGGGGGGCTCCTGAGCCCCCCCCCCCCCGCCAGGAATAGGGTTAAGTAAAATAGCATGTTCCACTACACCTGTAGACTGTACATGTACATGTTGCATATTTATTAGTTTTTGGCGGCATTTTTTTACTAGTATTTTTTAATGAATCATAGAGGTCTATGAATGAATATAACTTAACCCGCGCCCCGCTGGGGGTCCTGGATTTCCACACCCTGGTGGTGGTGGTGGTGGGGGAGGGGGGGGGGGGTTGAACACCCCTGCCCTTCTAACTCGACTACTGGGCCACGTAACGATACGCAGATGGCGGCGTTCGAAGGAGCGCCAAAAATAATGAAGACATCACTTACTTTTTTGGTCAGGTCAAAGGTCTAGGCCCGGTTCATATAGAAAAGCCTGTTGGCAAGTGTCACTTTGCCGAAAGTGCCACTTACTCAAAGGGACACTTTTGGGAACAATTCTGACTCGTACATATAGCTGGCCAGGGACGGTGCCACAGGGGGGGGGGGGGCAGCCGCCCCCCCCCCCAACTCTGAACACTGGAGCCCTCTTTCAGCCAGCAGGTCAGGTATGGACGGAATACTCTCTGGCTGCGCAGAAAGAAAACTTCTGGGCAGAGCTGTAGAAATGACTTCAGGAGTGGGGAATCGAGCCAAAGGGGGCCTTCTCAGGGTGCCGTCGCCAAGATAAAACTTACGGGCTTTGGCCCATGTTTTTGGAAAAGGGCCCAAGTAAGCAAAAAACGAAAAAGAGAAAAGAAAACAAAAAAATATTTTTTTTTGTATCTTGGGTGATTGTGGCCTTGTCCTATCTTCGCAGGCTGTAGAAAGGGCCCGGGCCAAAGAGGGCTCATGCCACGTCTGAGAGGGCCCATTCAATATATGAAAGGGCCCAGGCAAGGTCTGTGAGGTAAGTACTGTTCGTGAGAATCGTTCAGTTCACCCGTTCGATACGGAAATGTTCGTGCGTGCTCGTGATCGTTCACTCGTTCTCGTACTCGTTCTCTTTCGTCACCCGGAGGACCATAAAGCTATTGTTCATATATGAAAAAGTCTATTCTTGATTGATAGCGAAACGATTAAAACGGGTAAATTCGGCGGTCACAGATGCAGCGCAATTCGTCGTACTCGGCACGTCGTTCACGTAAGGCCGCGTCGGCCACGTCGTAACACCGGGCCGTGTCGCACCGGCGGAGTCCCGTTGAAGACTGTTGGGCCCCCGTCCCGTCTCAGCCCTCGTGGTAGCACAACACGAGAATCAGGACAGGGGCCAGATGACACGATTTACACATGTGCGCGCGGCGGCGCCGGCCGTCTTCGTCAAGATACATACAGAAACGTATTTGCTCGCTAACAAGTACCATATTATGCCTGAGAAGGAGAGGGCCCATACCAGTCATGACAGGGCCCGCAGCGGTGCTGAGATGGCCCTTGGAAGGAGTGCGAGAGCCTGTAAAATGCCTGAGGGGGCCCATACCAGCCGTGGCAGGGCCCATATCAGTGCTGAGAGGGCCCACAGCCAGGGCCCATAATAGGACTGAGGGGGCCACGACAAGCTATGTGAGGGCCCGTACCCTGACATATTACTGAGGGTTATGTCAGTCAATGCCCAATGGCAATCATGGAAGGGCCCCAGCAGTACTGAGAGGACTGTTGCAATGACTAGGAGGGCCCGTACCATACCTGAGAGGCCCATACCACTCATGCGAGGGCCTGCAGCAGTACTGAGAGGGCTCTTGCAAGAACTGGGAGGGCCCGTATCATGCCTGAGACGGTCCATACCAGTCATTAGCCCGGCAGTTGCTGGGGTATTTCGCCACCCACCGTTTGCTGGGGGGGGGGGGGGCGTTAAACGCCCCCAGCCGATAACTCGAGAACCAATAGGCGCAGCGAAACGCACGAGGCGGCAAACGAAAGAACGCGACGAGACGCTTCAGATGAGTACTGTTAGCGAGCAAATAGGCATTTTGGATATCTTCGCAAAGACGGCCGGCGCTCGGAGCGCGGCGGTCGGTCCGCCGCGCCACGCCGCTCACATATGCGTCATCTGGCCCCTGTCCTGGTTCTCATGCCCACGTGTTGTGCGTACCACGAGGGCTGAGACGGGACGGGGGCCTGACAGTCTTCAACGGGACTCCGCCGGTGCGACACGGCCCGGTGTTACGACGTGGCCGACGCGGCCTTTTAGCAAGCAAATAGGCATTTTGGATATCTTCGCAAAGACGGCCGGCGCTCGGATGCGGCGGTCGGTCCGCCGCGCCACGCCGCTCACATATGTGTCATCTGGCCCCTGTCCTGGTTCTCATGCACACGTGTTGTGCGTACCACGGGGGCTGAGACGGGACGGGGGCCTGACAGTCTTCAACGGGACTCCGCCGGTGCGACACGGCCCGGTGTTACGACGTACCGACGCGGCCTTACGTGAACGACGTGCCTAGTACGACGAATTGCGCTGCATCTGTGACCGCCGAATTTACCCGTTTTAATCATTTCGCTATCAATCAAGAATAGACTTTTTCATATATGAACAATAACTTTATGGTCCTCCGGGTGACGAAAGAGAACGAGTACGAGAACGAGTGAACGATCACGAGCACGCACGAACATTTCCGTATGGAACGGGTGAACTGAAAGATTCTCACGAACAAGTACTTTAAAGTTGAATTTTGAGGTCACAGGTCGGGTCAAGGTCAGGTCAAACACCTGAACTCGGACTTTCAGTAGCATGGACTTCAGGACTTCGCAATGGGCGCCTCTCGTCATAAACTCTCAACTCTGTCAAAACGGTGCACAATTCATCATATAATGATAAGGTCTACAAGAGTGTCAGCTCCATGTAGGGGTCATTCAAGCATAGGTCCAAGGTCAGGTCAACCGGGTAGGCACATATCCCCGAAAAACAAAACTGATATTCGCAGCCTGCGACACATGTTTTATGGGTAATTTGGGGCGTAAAATACGATGGTGACATTCATTTTGTCATATGTGTGCGTGTTTGGCTCAAAAAGTTCAATTTAACCCGCGCCCTGCTGGGGGGGTGTTTGAACACCCCCCCCCCCCCTTGTGGTTTTTCGCGAATATCTCAAAAACGGCGGCGCGGAGCGCCGCCGTTTTTAGTACACCTTATCATACATCAATTCTACACATGTTGTGAAAATTTCAGATCAAGGTCATTCAAGGTCAGGTCACCAGGTCACTTGAAGTGACCTCACCTCATAAAAAGTTTCAATGTCTGTCATAGCTACACCGAGTGACCGATCGCTTTGAAACTTTCAGCGATTGCTAAGGGCAATAGCATGTACAAAATGCATATCTCAGAATTTTGATATCGATGACCTAAGGTCAGGTCAATTTTGCGACCTCCCCATTATAAGTCAATGGGAGAAAATTGAAATGCGTCTCTTTTGGACGAAAGACATTATAAACACTCCCAAACACCGAATTACAAGTGTTTTAGACACACTGAACATGAACATGGTGTCCGTGACCCTTGTTTATGCCCTGAGGTCATCTTAGGTCACGAATGGTATCTAACAGTTTTTCGCAAATAACTTTTGATAGAGGCATGCTAGAGCAATGAAAATGCCTTATATGTGTTCAGCTCGACGATACGGATCGACTGATATGCAACATGACCCTTTCCGGTCAGGTCATGACCTTGACCTGAGGTCAAATTTTCAAGTTGACCTTTCAAGGTCAAGTTATAGTTCATTCGATGCGTCTTGACGAGAGGAACACGATGCCGGTAAAAGTAAGCTCGCACAAGGCTTGGGTCAAGAGTTATTGCAGAAAAACTGTTTCCGAAAAAATCGCCTATTTTTGCAGTTTTTGCCCCCTGCAGGCAAAACCGTTGCCGTTAGGTCAAATCTGAGAGAATTACTCAGAAAGGGCGTTAAGAGGGCTATCGAATGCACTTTTCCGCGGCGCTGTAGCTCTATTGGTTCCCGAGTTATGCGTTGGCTTCTTGGAAATTTTCGACATTCGACCTG